TCTTCATTCAAGCAAGTCTGGTTGAATAATCTAGACCAATGATGTGGGGTGCAACTTTTGGATAATAAGTGCGACATTACTGTAATTATTGAACAATATAGTTCATGCCACTTTGACAGAAAATTTACCAGTAAAAAAGAATTCACTCATCACTATATTTGTACAAGAACGCACAATCGTAATATTTAAATTCAAGCTCAGCGTTGCGACTGCACGCTCCAAAAACAATAACTCATTTCTAATAGCATTTTTCGGATTACAATACATATATTTTCGTTGTCCTCTTATTACTGAGAGTAAAAACAAGAACAAAATCTATTCCATACCTGAGGATGTCTGTAGGAACAGACGAAAGCTTGTAAAAATAATAAGAACTTATGCAACAGAAATTTATAAAACAAGGATCTTTTTCATTCATAAACAGGTTCGGGGTTTTGTATATTATTTGAATTGTTTGCGACGATGGATTTCTCGCCAATTAAATCATTAACCTTTGTATTTGTTTTTGTATGAATAATTCATGAATATATATATATATATTTAAATTGTGTGTATTTAGGCAGCATATTTTCATTTATACACGTTTCATTAAATAATATAGACAAGTGTTGTCTATTTATTTTATGTAAAATTTTTTCGTATCTTCTGATAAGTTTGATAACATTATCATTAACCGAAAAAAGAAATTCACAATATTTATCCATTATTTTTTTAATATAATCTAAGCTTTCGGCTTACTCAAGCCATTATCAAAGATGTAATTACAAACATATCAAACAATATACGGACACGACAGTGATGATAGTCTGTCATTGTTTAGTTTACATAGTGGATCACTAACAACGATGAACACGCGCATATAAGACGCTAGAAGCGAAAATCGCACTGCATCTCATGACGTCACACATGACTACACGAGAGTGAATTGGAGAATGAAATAAGGAAAGCCGTTGGTATAAACCAATGGCTTCTGTTACCAATTATAGAAATTATAGACATTTAAGAATATTTGTAGAGATTCCATAGTTGATTTTGTTTAGGTTGGGTTTTAACTGTTTGATGTATAATGCTTCAAGTATTTTTAGTTTTTGTCTATTGTTTTCATGTCGAAGTATAGTTGTGTTTTCGAAAACATGACATGAAAACCAGAGGTGAGCCCATCACTATGCCTTTACGTAAACTCCTATTGTTTTTCACCATACAAGTAACATTTTATGTTCACTATGTTAATATTTACACTCAGACTGATGGTGTAGCGATGGGCTTGCCACTGTGTCCTACTTTAACTAATGGGATTTTCCTATCTGAAACGTAAATAACAGTAATTTTTAAAAGGATCTTTTTTATCAGATCTTATTTCTTACTCGTATAAACATTTATTTTTAGTGGGAACACGTATCTGAGTTGCTATTCGAGTTTGAAACTTGAGATAGCAGATATAGATTCGTAGAAGTCCCAACGAGAAAAATCTGCTTTCCTTAAATTGGTAACTCCAACCTTGCCCTAATAGGCGGGCAACCGTTGTATAGGACACTTCTTGAAAAAAAAGGATGCAGGTTCGATTCCGGTCAAAGGCAAAAATTTTTTCTTTAGTAGGACTTCTATCTATAGGCCGGTTTTATTAATTTCACTGTTTAAGAAAATAAAATGAAAACAGGCATAGCAACTTAAATACGTGCAAACACTAAAAAAATTCATATATATATATATATATATATAGAGAGAGAGAGAGAGAGGGTAAATTGTCGCCATTTTATATTTTTAATTTCGCGCATGTGCGTTGTTTGTTTTTGATTTTGTCGACTGCATAGTATAGTAGGGTCAGCTGGGCCCCGTCTGTGAAACAATGATCACCATGACGCAATTCACTCCGCCAGCAATTTGGAAAGGACAGTTGTACTACTCGGACCAAGAGAATGGCTGCTGGGTGACCCTATGTCTGGCAGCAGGACTATGAAACGTGTCACACAGGTAGATGAACCCAATTATGTCTGTTAGACAATTTCTGCGACCACATCACCCCTTACACCTTACAACCTAACTCCCGAGACTGCAAACCCCCCCCCCCTTGATTATTATGTGTGCGGTGCAGCCGAGCGAGAGACCAACAAAACTCTTTGTAACACCAAAGATGAACTGAAGGCAAGGATTATGGTAGTATTCAACTTAAACAAGGAGACCGTCCAGAAGAGTTGCAAGAGATTCCGAAGTCATTTAGTGGCCGTGGTTGAAGCTAATGACGATTTTATTGAATAAATTTTCTTTTTAGTATTTAAAGATATTTTTTGCGTAATTTTAGTAAATATATCTGCTAAAATGAGATGTCAGTGTTATTTTCATTTTTGCAACAATTTATTCATCGTACCCTGTATATAGTATAGGTGGAACTAAATTAGGTTGACTTGTTGCCTGAAATAATTTGCATTCTATCGGTTCCCAAGTGCTCGGAATTTAAGATAAAATCTTCTGTTTTAAATGCTGATAAACGCAAGATCCATTAAGAATAACATTTACAATTCCCTTTGATCTTGTGACAGATGAAACCAAGTTAGTTATCTGTCAATCTGAAGGGCGACATACATAGATACATACATATATAACCAAATATCTCGGTGTATGGATCAATTATAATATAAGGAAACTGAACAGGGAACAGGCTGCGCTAGGTGTAGTTTCAGCCAATACTGCAAGTTGCTACAAAACTAAAACATTAACTTTAAATTTCATTATGTTCTTGAATGGCCTCGTCTAATCGTGTCTTTCATGTAGATTTCCTGCATAGCTCCAGACTCGTCCAAAAATACCTAAACTGTCAGTTGTATACAACCGCCTTCTCAGAACAATGATTGCAAATGGCTTCGAGAAAATAAAGTCTGTAGATGCGAGGACCATCTTTCTTTAAAACCCTTAGACTGGCGCTGCATAATCCCCCCAAACCTATACGAAATAACAAAAAAACATATTACTTTAGGAGATTCAGCAGCAGTAACAATAAGAAAGAATAGTACACGTAACTCAAAGAGAAAATAATAACATAATCAAGATGTTCACTTTCCACACGACTTCAAACAAAAGGTTAGCAAGGAAGCTGCTGTAAATCCTAAAAAGAACAGTAACAGTTGCAAGAGTTGAGAAATTTTTCTGAAAAATTGTTTTAATAGAAAGATTTTATAAATTTCAACCGATGGTAACACTGGCTGCTCGGTTAAATCTTTCCTTATAAGAAAACTTAATGTATACCGTAATTCCCCATGTATAATACGCCTTAATCCATAATATGCACCCCTATAATTGTGCTGAAAATGTGGGAAAATGCTTCTACTCACACATAATACGCACTCCTTTGGTAATCAATCCCTATAAATTGTACATCTCCAATTTCACTACGGCCAGCGATTCCTACTCTTATTTAAAAAATGGTTTTAAACATAGAATAATATTATTCTAATTTAGTTTTATGGTAATCCATATTTTATTTTACATTTGTAAGTATTGTTAGGTACATATGATTGTATTTGACATCCTTATGGGGTCGCAATCGCCGAATGTTAGTGTCAAATTGTCGTTTGTTTGTGGTGAACAGTCATTTCGCAACTAAAATCGACCTATGGAACGGTAATTTTTTAAAGATTTTTCTGTAACTTTTCAAAAGTGGATCTATTTATACTTATTTGTGTTTGATTTGGGATGAAGGGGGGGTCTTCTTCTGTGTGGTGGTAGTGGACGTAGATCAGTGAGTGCGGGTACGCGTCTACATATACGTGTGTATGTGTGAGCGAATGTAAGCTTGTCTGACGGCGCGGACGACCAATGTGAAAAACATGAACACCAACTCCACCTGTTCCTTGCTAAGAGAACATCGCTACATATGTAAACGCTACAGGCTCGACACCGAAATAAAATGACAATTGTGTATATATATGTATGCTCGAACGCATAGATGTGTAACTGCACTTAACCACAGATTATTTATATGGGTGCGTTTGTACAAACTAAAATCCATACACCTGTATATATGTGTGTCGATGGATGTGAGAGTGTCTTCCAAAACAAACACAGAAGAAAATTCCAACCTCCACCACACACAATCAAGCACAAATAAGCGTAAATAGATCGACTTTTTAAAAACATAAACCAGTTTGTCTGATGATCACAAAAGCGTGAAACCCGGGGTTAAAAAGTAATATCCATACAACTGAATATGTTAGGTCTATCATAGATATTGAGCCCTTTCCACTAAGTATATATATATATATATATATATATATATATATATATATATATATATATATATATATATATATATATATATATATATATATATATAAGGCTCATATCACTAATATTCCATGGTTATAATTTATTATATTGGAATCGTAATCACGATCCAAATCATCAGACCGACAAATTCAAAAAGTCTGTCTGTGTCTGTCTGTCTGTCTCTCTCTATCTCTCTCTCTCTCTCTCTCGTATATATAGGAAGAAATATAGTTTTATGGTATGCTATATTTATGGGATAAAGTACCCAATATCAGAGATGGAGCTTATATAATATAAAAGTGAACATCAACACTTAGCGGCGACAGATTGTTTCATGCTAAACGCAATCATCAGGCTTGATGATGGCATTTAGCATGAAACAGTCTGTCTGGCCTTCAATGTTCACTCATATATATATATATATATATATATATATATATATATATATATATATATATGGAGAAAGAGAATAATGTCGATAGAAAAGGTCAAAAAGAAAGAAGTCTATATTTTTCGCAAGCGTCACAAAACACACCGATTAACCTAAATATACCGAATGTAAGGCACATATGAATGATATGAATCCAAATATGTCATTTTAGAAGTCACTGAAAAAAAAAAAAGAACTGATGCAGTTCAGATAAATTTTATCGCAGCGGGACGACCTTTGCTTTGATCTTTTTTGCCGATTGTCCATCAAATCACAAAGGGGGGAAAAAGACGCGCTTCTATTTTGGCCAATGCTTTGTCCTTATTGTCCTGAATTATATTCCAAAACAAATCCTTTACCTCGTCAATCAAACTCTGTCATCTCTCTCTCTCTCTCTCTCTCTCTCTCTATTCCACCTTCTCTTTCTCTTTTCCCCTCTCTCTCTCCATCCTACCTTCTCTTTCTGCCCCACCTCTCTCTCCATTCCACCATCTCTTTCTCTTCCCCCCTCTCTCTCTATTCCACCTTCTCTTTCCCCCTCTCTCTATTCCACCTTCTCTTTCTCTTCCCCCTCTCTCTATCCCACCTTCTCTTTCTCCCCTCTCTCTCTATTCCACCATCTCTTTCTCTTCCCCCTCTCTCTATCCCACCTTCTCTTTCTCCCCCTCTCTATATTCCACCATCTCTTTTCTTCCCCCCCCTCTCTCTATCCCACCTTCTCTTTCTCCCCCTCTCTCTATTCCACCATCTCTTTTCTTTTTCCCCTCTCTCTATCCCACCTTCTCTTTCTCCCCCTCTCTCTCTATTCCACCTTCTTTTTCCCCCCCTCTCTCTCTATCCCACCTTTCTTTCTCCCCCTCTCTCTATTCCACCATCTCTTTCTCTTCCCCCCCTCTCTCTCTATCCCACCTTCTCTTTCTCCCCCTCTCTCTCTATTCCACCATCTCTTTCTCTTCCCCCCCTCTCTCTCTATCCCACCTTCTCTTTCTCCCCTCTCTCTATTCCATCCATCTCTTTCCCCCCCTCTCTCTCTATCCCACCTTCTTCTCTCTCTCTCTCTCTCTCTCTTTTCGCTCGATATTGCTCAGTCTACAATTCCTTTTGTTTTTTCTCTCAATCCCATTCTAGATTGTTCTCATTACATCTCTCTCTTTCTCTCTGTGCCTCTTTGTCTCTGTCTGTTTGTCTCTCTCTCTCTCTCTCGCTCTCTCATTTCTTACCATCTCTTTCGCGCATTCTTTTTCCTTTGTCTTTTCTTTCCTTCACTCAATTTTCTTCCACAACTTTCATTAAACCTCTTTCTCTCCATTTCTTTCTTTCTTTGTTTCTTTCTTTATCTTTCGTTTTCCTTCTTTCTTTCTTTCTTTCTTTCTTTCTTTCTTTCTTTCTTTCCGATATCCCTCTCTTTCCATCCCTTTTGTTATCTTCCTTTCTTTCCTTTTTTCTTTCTTCCTACATCTTCGCTTTCTTTCGTTGTCATTTTCTCATCTTTTTTGATCTCTCGACTTATTTTTTTTGTACTTTCTTTCTTTCTCCAGATTTCTCTTGCTATCTTTCTTTCTTCCTCATTCCTTCCCATCTCTCTCTCTCTCTCTCTCTCTCTCTCTCATTCTTTTAATCTCTTTCTGATATTCTGTCTTCCTTTCTCTCAACACTCACTCTTATGATTTTATTCGTTGTTTCTTTCTTTCTTTTCGCATCTCTCATTATATCTCTCTCTTTCTCATCTTTTTCCCCCCTCTCTCTCTCTCTCTCTCTCTCTCTCTTTCTCTCGTATTCTTTGTTTCCATCTTATTCACATCTCTTCTACACTCAATATGCCTATACGTTTTCTTTTCCCCGACAATAATCCAACTGCACGCATTCCAGTTTTGATCCATTCATTTTGATCCATTCATTTTGATCCATACATTTTGCAAATAAATATCGTCGATTCAATGCAGGTTTATATAAAGAATATAAAAAAGCCAGTTTCAATATCGCTCAGTGCTTGGTGTCCTTGTGCCAGAGTAAAGCATATTCAATAATTGACGTGCTTCTTGGGTGAAGTTAGTTACATGACCTTTGTAGGTGAGCTATAACTTTAACTAAATAATTAAATATAAACTAAATTATTATCTGTTTGGTTCTTGGTTCCAAAGATGTTGGTCTTGACATTGTCTGTTGGGAATCCTAGATTTTAAAAGCAAATTATTATTTTTTCTCTTGTAACTTACTAATACAGAAGTGAAAATGGTTAAACTTAAATGCTGAATGTTTTTTTCAGTAGACATTAAATTGTCCTTTTATTCATTGCTTATGAAATATATAAAATATTATTAATTATATGGGTATGACATAACTTCTTGTGAGGTGGGTTACATTAAGATTATCGAAAGAGCTATTTGCCTGCCTGTTTGGCACCTTGTGGCAATAAGGCCTCCACAAAAATGTTTCCACTCTGCCCTGTCTGCAACTGTCATTTGCACCTTACTCCTGGATTGTATGCCTCTAAAATTCAAGTAACGGGGTTATAGGGCCTAGTACTGAGAAAGGAAGACATTTTAAATATATAAAACCAGATGAAACATGAAATAAACACGTTATTCAAATATAAACTAAATTTTTATTTCACTCTTTGATTAGATGCTCTCCCAATATGGATGCCTGGGGCTGTTGCATCCTCTGCACATTCCTTCTGCCCACTACTGTTCCAGGATCATCAGGATTGTTGGTTTTAATCTGCTAGGAATGATCACTAAAAACATCCTTTCTCTAAATCTATAGACAAATCCTACAGGTGCATGCTGGGATTTCTTCTTGACTGATAAAAACAGACCAATTCTGGTCTTCATTTGCCATATATTTTTTTCTATCTTGTCTTGAAATTAGAACTTTACAATCACTTAACTGTATTCCTAAGACTCAAGTAGGTAGGCTATAGGGTCTAGTACTGCGAAATGGGAGAAAGGAAGATATTTTAAATACAGTGGACCCTCGGTTCACGAATTTAATTGGTTCATGAAGGCCGTTCGTAACCCGAAATGTACGTAAACCGAAACTATTTTTTTCAATCAATGTAGAGAAAAAAAGTCACAGTACAATAAAATTGGAAAAGAAAAGTCACAGTATAACACACGAATGTATACAACACGGCGGTTGAGTCAGAAATGATTTCCGTTCGGGTTAACTCGGTTCTACAATGTTGTTCGAGAACTGAAATTTTGTTCGATAACCGAGGCATTTTCATCTAGAATTTTCTGTTTAAAAACCGATTTGTTCGTCATGTGAGACGTTTGAGAACTGAGGTAGCTCTCTATATAAAAACAGATGAAACATGAAATAAATACTTTATTCAAATTAAATATAAAGTAATTTTTTTTTTATTTCACTCTTTGATTGGATGCCTTCCTGATATGGATGCCCTAGGTCATTGCACCCCCTTCCCCACTTCTTTATAAAGACAAACAACTGAAAAGCCTAAAAAAATTTGAGCAGCACTATAGCTAAGATAGTTGCAGATTTCACCATAAATGTTTGAGTTTATGTGTAAAGCCAGAATTTTGGAAACTGATTTGTAGTGAAATAAAATCTACTCTCCCCACCACTTGACCTTGTGCTATAATGAAGCATATTATCAACTACACCATATGTGTAAGGGAGTAAATAATTATATCCACCCCCAACATTTATATATAGAAAAATACTCATAAAAATAAGAAAAAGCAAGACATGGAAACAATAAAACGAGTCTTATTTATTAATAGAAATGAATACAATATGCCATATTGTTCCCATATTGAATATGGGAACTAGTAATAAGGAGTGCCAGAGAAAATCGATAATAACAACAAAAATTGCAATATGAGCTCCGGTAAAAACATGATTTGATAGCAGCAAAAATTGCAATATGAGCACTGGCAAAAAATGGTTACTGAAGACATTAGGTTTATAATACCCAGAAATTCAAATACGGATGTCCTCAAGGACACATGGCGCAGTGGATAAAGCCGTTAGATAATGACAGAACCTAAAGACTGTGAGTTCAATACCCGGTTAAGGCAATGGAGAATAGAATGAAATATAAATATAGAGAGAAATATACTCTTAAAGTATAACGCGCGCAATATCACAGATAGAGCGAGTGTAAATAATAAATGGCCCGACGATTGCGTCTCGCATGAAACAGCCTGTTGACTTCAATGTTTATAAGTATACCTGTGTCTGTCTGATATCTTTTCATTCGGGATCTATCCAACTGATTTTGACCTAACTTGGCATAAACATTGTACAATATAAGAGATTAGTGTAAAAAGAGGTACTTAGTGTAAATAATCGATAAATTTAAACTTTTCTCCGATTCCGTTCACACTCGGTATGTAGGTCACTTACATCATGGCGAGCTTAACGATACCTTATTTTTATTTCTGCACCACTGCGTTTAACGAAAAACTGCTAAAACAAAAATGAAAAATACAAATCGATTTCAACACAAATTTTAAACTAAAAACTTCCTCAATTTTCAGGAAAATCTAATACAAACTTCACTCAATTGTAGCCAACAATAAGTTAATTGTTTAATAGTCATTTAACTTGATAATTGTCCACAGAGAAAACATGCGTAAATAGCAAAAAATGGCGATTTTTATTGGTTTCTTTATTATTCTTTATTGATCTTTTAACTATTGCATCCTTGGTAACGCACTGACAAATAAAATTTCAAAAGCACCAAAATAATTGTGGTCTGAAATGTGTTTTCATGTCGTCGGCTAACTTCGATTGAATAAATACAGACTACTTTTGTTATATCAGTAACAGCATCAATTCAAAATGTTTTTAATAAAAGTACTTTAAAATAATTAAAGATAGAAGTTCTAAACATGATGCTGTTTCTGCTCCATTCTAATTGAACGCTTTTTCTCATCGACCAGCTGATTACTAGTAGTATATACAGTAAAGTTGTTAAGAGGCATAAAAATGGTACAAGCTGACTGTTTTTAACGCCTCATTTTTAAAGACTCGTTTCTCTAGACTTAGTGACAGATATAGTCTGAGATGATAGAAAACTCTTAATTTCGACCCGGAGAGAAGATAACGGGTAACACTGCACTATCTTTTTCCCATGGATATAACTTCATTCACAAATAATAATAAAAAAACCGAATATGATTTATTTTTTGTTTTTTATCATTTTACTCCGCTAAGAAGCAATATTTTCCTGGGAGTGAAAGAAGATGAGAAACCGTTATTGAGAAGAAAGGACAATAAAAGAACCGGACTCAGGAATACAGAAAATGGCGATTTTCGTTGCATTTAAATTTATAAAGACCCCACTTGCCAGGGAAGCAAGAAACCGGAAGAAGGTTCCACAGGTGAGAAGTTCTGTTGGGGCGCACCCACCTTCTAACTAGAAATGGACTGGTCCCTCTTATATAAGTCAGCTCTAGAGAGAGTGACAGAGCGTCAGAGAGAGAGAGCGTGAGCAGTCCAGATAAGCTTTTACCCGGTACATACCGTTGGACTATAGACTTTGGATATTGTTTCGTACTAACCAACCTTCGTTCTACTAATGACTCTATTGTTAATTGCTTTTACAAATATACCAGTATTTTCCTCTACAACTGTGTTTGTCTTGATTCATACACCGACACGCGGGAAACTCACAACACCTCAACAAGTTCCAGAGAAGAAACTATTAGAATAGAATTTACGGTAACATCCAGTTAGTTGTTGTCAATCTGGTAGTATGCTTCAGTTAATGAGTTCGTTGTACAAAGAACTATTGCCATGAATATATATAGAGAGAAGAGAGCCCTCCGAACATGATTGTAGGACCCGGGTTTCTGTTTATATTTCGGAGATGAGGTGGTTGGAATGTCGAACTTAACCCTTTATTTCGCTCAGTAGGGTAGACTGTTCTAGTTCCACGTGCCATGTCTAATGGATGTCAGTTATCAGTTATCACCTGTTAATTTCCCTCCGAAAGTTCTCCACTGTCTTAACCGGGTATTGAACTCACACTCTTTGTTCCCTGTCAAGGACACATGGCACAGTGGATAAAGGCGTTGGTTAGATCCAGTGACAGGACCCAAAGAGGGGAATTAACAGGAGATAACTGACATCTATTAAACATGGCGCGTAGAACTAGAACAGTCTACTCCAGTGAGCGAAATAAAGGGTTCAGTTCGACATCCCAACCACCTGAAGAAGGCCGGAGAGTACAACGGCCGAAACGTTGTAATAAATATGGCGACAAAGATGAGGACAATAGTCCGAATAATGTAAATAGTGTACATAATACCTCATCTCAGAAATATAGACAGATACTGCAAGGCCGAAACGTTGTAATAAATATGGCTACAAAGATGAGGACAATAGTCCGAATAATGTAAATAGTGTACATAATAGCTCATCTCAGAAATATAGACAGATACTGCAAGGCCGAAACATTGTAATAAATATGGCGACAAAGATGAGGACAATAGTCGGAATAATGTAAATAAGGACCCGGGTTGTTTCCCTGATTCTCGCTATTTTACCAACAGATTTTTTTTCTACTGACATTTATACGTTAGAAATTAAACTAAGCACAACTCACTATTAAAAGATGAAAAATTTCGCGGGTATTGACGTCATTCT